CTTTGGATGTGCTCTCCTTGGGAATGCTACTTTTGGATCGATCTGAAATATAAAAATAAATATATTAAAATTGCATACATGTGGCAAAGTAAAATTAATTAATAAGATCGACCTAAAATTTTTACCTTTTGCCGTCCAATTCGTGCGTGCCGGCTGCCAAAACTTTGTCGACGCTAGTGGGGTCGGAAAGGTCACGAAGCCGAAGCCCCTGAAATAAATATAATATATATTTTTTAAATATTAAACAATTATAATTTTCTACTACCCCCATGGGGCGTACGAAATCTGTTATAACAATAGCTAGTATCGGGCTACGTAATTTGGAAGAAACACAGACGTACGTCACAGATTAAGGAAACAATTAAATTATACTAACATAACTTGAAGTTACTAGATATCATTTTTATACAAGATTAATTTTTGTACTATATTTGTGCAATTTCTTTTTTTACTTAAAGTAAGTCTTAATTTCAGTTTGAACTGAAGTAAAAAGTAGTGTACTGCACTAAAAAATCAATATGGAAAGTGGGAAAGAGATTCATTTCACATCCAGCTGTTGTTTTTTTATAACTATTGCAGCAATAAACTTTTATTACCTAAATTGCAAGTGTATATATATATAATTAAATTAAGTCTAGTAATCGGGCGTAACATCAGTAAAAAACATGAATTTCTTTCAAAAATTTATTTTAATCCATACGTTTCGGCTATAATCTTAGCCTTCATTCAGTGAAACTAAAATAAAAATTAAAAATTGAAACAATTGAATTGGAGTGAAAAGAAAAAATAAAATAGTAAATAGTACTTACAATTAGTTAATCTTAGTGTTAAATTGGAAAATTTTAATAATCCATGGTATCAGGATATGGTAATGCACTACACTATGTATAATAATAAATTAAACTTGTAATTACACAATATTTTCACAAAATACTATTTACTATTTTTATTATATTTTTTCACTCCAATTCAATTGCTTTAGTTTTTGATTTTATTACAATTATTACATCTTAATATACATTTTTTTGTTTAATTATCCAAACTCTGAAACTAAAACAAAATTAGATTGAAAAAAAAAACGTTTTATATCTCAGCTTAACCCATTTTTTTAGTTAAAATGTCATAAAATAAAAAAAATGTAAAATAAATAACAAGTAAAGACTTCAACTTCTTTATAAAGATAGTTAAAAGTTTATAATTAATGTAAATTTAATTTTCACATTTACTGAAGAATTATCATGTTTAGAATTTATTTTTTGATTATTTTGTATGATTGAAAACAAAACTCGAAACGTCAGCAAAAATATTAAAAATACAATAATTCATTTTATTATTAAAGTGTTTATATATATATATATATATATATATATATATATATATATAACTATAGGGAAGTGCATAAAACGTAAATTATGTACATAACAACTACCATTTCTACGTCATTATGAAAGGTCAGCAGGAAAATATCAGAAATAGCATCATGAGGGGCCGAAATGTCAAAAAAGTAACAAATAACGAAACGAGGTTGGCAGTAATATATATATTTATATATATATATATTATAATATATATATATATATATATATGTATAATATGTACATATACAACAAAAACTCCTTTAACATCAAAACGTCTTATAAATCTGATTCAAATTAATTGTTCATATTGGACTCAATCTGTATTAGTAAAAGTTTAATAAAACGTCTTCAAAAACACAATACTAATGTAATGTATAATGTACGGAAACTACGAATTCTGGGCACAAGCAGGCGTTTCGATCAGCCTGGTATCAAGCAGTGGTGATATCTGTTTTTATTATTAGTTTATTACGGCGGCCATAAACATATGTGGTTCTTATACAACATTTAATCTTATTTGATTATTAATAATGTCAATAATAATAAATTGTGAATAAATGCTATTTTACCTTGACCTCCTCGTCGTGGGGTCCTTCATGACCATCACTTCTGATATGTCACCGAATTTGCTGAAGTACTCTCGTAGACTTTCTGAAAATAATAAAAAATAATAATTAATAAACAAAAAAGAATGTAATAAATCATACATCCAAATTTTATGAACATTTAGGAAACTGTCCAGGATATCTGTTTGATTGAAACCAAGTGGTAGGGTTTGGCCACCCCGAAGACTTTTATTAGAACCCTAAACTTTAACCATCTTACCCACGTATTTCGCTATATTATTATATATTAATTGCATCATTTTTATCATTTATTTTTACATGTGTGTGTGTATTTACATTATTGTGGCTGTGTCTGTGT